AAAAAAATTCAAGTCAACTCAACGCCGACGTCATCGCCGCTGCAGGGTGGTTGACCCTACAGCGCACACACATACACACGCACCATGCCTCAGTATCACGTGATCGTGGGGGGGGGAGAGGGGCTGAGTTCAGTGGAAGGCAACACATGTCGGCGAAAACTAATGCTAATAAGGTTGGACAGAAGACAGTGCAAACAGAAACACACACATCTGCCCTTCATGTGTGTCTAAGGTTATAGTGGAAGACACCATAAAGCATGCAGTACGTATCAGCGGTAGATCGTGCATAATAAGTAGGCCTGGTGAAAGTGGACCTATGGAAATGCGGGAGCAAATCGATCACCATGAAGACAACAATCGGCGTACAACAGTCATCTAACTCAATTAGACTGCTTCACAGCAAGGACTTGCGTGCTAGTTTGATAATTAATTAATATGCAATTAGAGTAGATGTTAACCGAAATTGTTGAATATTATTTGAAGAGAAGGTGTTTACTGGGAGAAAAGAGGAAAATTTAATTTGTAAATTTCTGAGACTGGTTCCCCAGCTCGTCTTCGGACTAGCGAGAATGTGCAAATGAACAATGAACATTTCAAACGGGCAGAAAAAATAAATAGTCATATGGAGTGAGAGCTGATCGGTAGCTGGAGTTTCTGGGAGGGGAACTGTGTAAATAGGGAGCCAATGTTACCAAGGCAGAGTTAGGTTCACTACATGCTCCAACTGTTTACATAGGTCGGGTTTGAACCGCCGTATGTAGACTGCCTCCAGGTAGCGTAAAGTGCGAGTTGTTTGTTGCACGCCACTTCAAACTGTATTTATGAATTTACATGCACTTGCGGATGCAAGTACATAGGGCGAACGCAGCGGCAATTGGCCACCAGAGCTAAGGAATATTTACCTAACTGGTTAGTGAAACAAGAGAACAGAATTCCCCGGTCATCAATTACTGAACATCTGTTAGACTCGGGCCATTTTGTTGACCCCAAAACGTTCTTCCGAGTACTTGTTCGAGCACGAACAACTCGCACTTTACGCTACCTGGAG